GAGTTTGGTTCACTTCCTATGGTGTTTTGGCAGAAAACTCGACAAATATATAGTCATCTACAGCTTCAACCTCCTGGGTTTAGACCTCCAACGACTAAAATCTTCTCCGGAAATGGCGCCAAAAATTTTATGGTGGGCATAGGGTTGCTTGTCTTTTTGCAAGCCCATTGGTCCTGAAGTTTTAAATTTACAAATCCCTAGTGTCTGCAAGTGCACAGATGTACATTGTAGGACTTAGGGTGTCAATCCACAGGGAAGATGTCTAATCAGCAATAAAACCTAATCAATGTCAAAGCATTTCCAATTAGTTTACGGGCGATTTATCTTCATCTATCTTATGGGATCTGCATGGAGCTAGAATAGACATGTGTATGATTAACCAACTCTCGCCATCTTAATCAACTAATCCCTCAAATCTGTCAATTAACTCTCGCTCTCATGCCAAGATTAAGATCATGCATTAACTATTGAATTCGTCTGCTCACATCTTCTCTACAGGTAGCTCTCGACACCTGTAGCGACTATGTTCTTCTGAAGCTAGGTATGGATGATCTGATACAGCACTCTCGTGGCTCTCATCGATCCTAGGCTCAGAGAATAGGTCATGAATCTACTCTCATGCAATATGAAAAACTTAGAAGACTAGATCCAGAATATTGTTTAGAAACTTAGAAATCTTAATCGAACATATATGCCTATCGATGACTCTTTAGAAACCTGATTCTCTGGACAGATCTACATGATGCAAGGAATGATAAAATACATGAAAGAATGCAAATATGAAACAGAAAACTTAATTAGATAGAAAAGAGAAAGAACAATGGATCTAGGGAAGAATCCTCTTCTCCATCGCCTAACCCTAGAAAAATAGAGTTTGGTGGCTCAAAATCTCATTACAGGAGCACACACCCATTTAGAACTGCTAAGAAATGTATTTATAGGTCCTAAGGTCTTCCAGGTCTCATTTAGGGCTTCTCTGAAGAGGATGGCGAAATGGGCTTTGATGTTGGGCTTTGTGGCTCGCCATGGGTCCACCGGGGGTGAAAGTCTTCCGGGGCAGGTAAAACACTTGTTTGCCGTAGGTGAGAGTCTTCCGGGAATGGTGAATTTGGTCAACGTGTTCTCCATGTATCTTTTTATTGCACTGTTGGATCTTCCTGATGTAAATTGCTATGGAAAGCTGGTTGTCTCCTCTTGAATGTCTCCAAATTTGATCTGGATCAGACGGTGAGGAAGTCTTCATTTGAGGTTGAACTTCTGACGGTCTGACTCTAAGCTAAAAATGTGGCTTTCTTCCATTTTGCCATCTTTTTCTCTAATTTTTCCTGAAAATATCCTTGAAACTACAAATATAGAGAAATCATAATAAAAGTTCATAAAACTGATTAAAACCTTTGAAAAAGCATTTGAAATCAATGGTGGAAATGGGTACAAATACGGTGTTATCACATGTCACTTCGCCCACGGTAGGTGACTCAGGCATCGCGTCCTTCAAGACCCACGGTCCGAGGTCATTTCACCCATGGTGTTTGACTCAGACAATGCGTCCTTCATTTGGGCTCACGGCCCCAGGTCATGCTGCCTCCGGCCCAATACAGCCTAAGCTTATAGCACCGGACCTCGAATCCAGTTAGATTCGGGAGATCCAGCATGGTAAGCCACCTGTTTTCGGATTTCTCGTGTCTTACAGTGCAGGCTACGCTGTCAGAAACAAGGAGGTTGGAGACTGAGTAGTCAGGAGGAGGAGAGGTTACATTCTCTATATCCTATACCTAATCTCAGTGATCCGGAAGGGTCGGGACATAAGGAAGAGTGGTCCGTACAGGTACCCGGAGAGCAAGGCCTTCCAGCCGCAGCAGCCCGGTCCCAATATCGAGGGATCCAGGCCAGGTATGAACAATCCATTCAAGCAAGAAAACTATTCAAATTTCCTCCATTCGACAATAGGAATACCCTTAATCTGATTCGATTGTCCATACTCTCACAAGCCCACGAGGATGGCATTTAATGTGATTTCCTTACGCGTGTCAGGTGATAAGGACATCTCGGAGGAGTCGGGGGGAAAAGCAGAGGTTCAGCAAAGAACCATACCGCGTCTGAACCGCCGACGCAACCTGTACATTGAGAACGAAAGGGACGTGCCAAGAGGCGGTCTCGCTGCAAGCAGAACATGCCAAGGAAAATTGGTGAGACCATCAGAGGTATGACGCCATCACAAGTTTCGAGTTCAGTCGAGTCGAGTCATGGGCCAATCCACCCGATCCATAATCCATGGGCCAACCCGGTATTCTAAACCGGGTCAGGTAATTTCCTATAAATACATTATCCTTCCCAACGGAGAGGAGGTTCACACTCTTAGCCATCTCAAGTCTCATGATATCTCCCTAGATAGTTGTGGTTCTTGAGCTCAGGCGTTCTAGTTAATTGCGACCATCTTTCCGCCCGAGTAGATCTTATCTTTCTCAAGGACTCTCGGCCCATTTTCTTTTACAAAGTTTTCCGACTTCTTTCCGCTTTCCGAACAGCTATATTGTGGTCTTTGTTGAGCTTTTTCTGACTTGAGCGTCGGAGTGTCTTTGGAAAATATACTCCTATCGTATTTTCCGAACTCTGATATTTTTTTGTTTTGTAGGAGACTTATCCCCCAGTAGAAGACTAAAAATCTCCTAAACAATATCCATATATTATCATCCAACCGGCCTTAATATGAAGTTAACTTTGTTGTTTACTCCACTGTCTACATATACGTTAGCATATGAAGCTTGGTCTTTACTCTTTACTAATATGCAAATCATGCACGCTCATCCAAGCTGCCAAACCATGGTAAGGACCTTGACCTTGTCTAAATGTCCAAATTTAGATCTTACATATTTTCAACTCCAGCAATTTTCAAATGTCCAAATTTAGATCATACGTATTTTCAACATATACAAATTCATAACTCAAATAGACTTGCTTACATGTCTCCCATAACTATCGATTGTGAACAGATTTAAGTGTTTTTCTGCCCGATACTGAGCAGCTGTGACGTATTCTTCTGTGTTCCTCAGTATAGGAATAGTTCCATTGGGGCAGTTGATGATTTTTTACTTTCACTTTCACTTTCACCTTTATCTATAGTTTTTGGTTTAGCGATGGAAAAGAATGGTTCCATCTACTCACAATAATATTGTTACACGGTAAATAGATTATGTGAAACTAAACCACACTAGAAATTATCCAAACAGTTTTTCCAGAAAAAAAAAAATTTAATTTTACATGACAAACTTATTAAAAATACTTTAGTTTTCTAATTTTTTCTTAAAACCTATGTTGAAAATTTTCAAATTCCTATATATATATATATATATATATATATATATATATATATATATATATATATATATATATATATATATCTATATGAAATTTGGTTTTAAACTTATAAAATAAAATACGCTGGATGTTGCTACTCTTCCTCCCAATTAAAAATATCATGTGTCTCTGTTATTGAAATCATTAGATATCAACATAGGAACTTCATCAGCGGTGGTAGAATGTTAGTCTTTCCATCAGTTTTTCGATCATACGATACAAATAATTTTAAACTATTGGTATCACCTATAGGACCAAACCTCTCTCACTCAGTTCGGATGTCTTGACTTGTTGGTTATGCTTATCCAGCATCTTTTTTTATCACCCAAACTACTAAGTCACAAAATTGATAAGTGGGATCTGCTATCCTATATCAAACAAAAATTCGGTTTATATAACAGGTTGCAACAACCACAGATTTTTTAAATGTAATTTAATAAGCCAAATAAAAATACGATAAAGAAAATAATAATTATATCCACAGACATCTATTCGGTTGGATGTCTTGTTTCCGGTAACAGCTATATAGAGTTGTAAAATGGCAGGAGCTGGTAGAATATCTCCTATAGAGTGATAATTCTCCCTGCACAACTGAAAAAGGTAAGGTCATTTACCATCGTTGATTGCTTTGATTACTTTTCTGATGTGAAAGAAAACATCATAATATATGTTCGGAAAAACTCTCGAAAATGTGTATGCAAATCACTATCTATCATTGTACATCAATGCTAATAACAATTTTGGTGGAGACTTAAGAAGCAAAAGCACAACTTTACTCTGCCCACAACACATCGAGAATATAGGCTTTCTGCATTGGAATCTTTTACCCAGCCTCTCTTTGTATCACATATAAGCTTTTCATTGCCCACACAAAAATATAGGATCTCTATCATTGTAATATATTGGTTAAATAAATATCAATTGATTAGCATCAATTAATTTTAAACTATATCAAATAGTATTAATAAATAATAACAATTTAATAGAAAACAATAACATCCATTATTCAGAACGGGGCTAACTGAGACTCTAGATCTATCAGACACTTTAACGCGTTTTTTTATCAACCTTTTTTTAGCGGAAGTAGGAGTTTAGGAGTTTCCACATGTTCACAATTAGAAAAAGATTCTTCATCATTCTCTTTTTTTTAATCAGAATCAGTTGCAATAAAGCAAGCAAATTCATTGGTATTGATAGAAGTAGCCAAGAAATCTAAAAAAAAGATTATTTTTCAAAGTATATCATATATATTAAAACTTCATAATAATAAAAAATAAAAAAAGATCAAACCGATATTTTTTATAAAAAAATTCTTGTGTCTAGAATAATCTGCATTCTTTCTTTTTTCGTGCAATATGACAGCCATCCTGCGTTAGATCTAGATCTTCTATATGTTGATTATTAACAGAACCTCCAAACTGATTAAAATCAATTCTATTACACGGAGCATATTGTTCATTCTTTGTATTGCCACCTACAAATTATAGAAAAAAAAATTGAATAGAGTTTTTTTTTTTGCTATGAATGTTAATATCATTAATATGAAAAAAGGAACTACAAGAGTTGCAGACCTAAGCTAAGCTTCCTTGACAAAAAAAAGAATAAAAAAAAGGAAAGCTTTAAACGATGAAGAATTTACAAACCTATCATCTAATCCAGAGCAGCATTAAGCTACTAAACCGGCGACGCCTCCGCCTTCCTGAGATGATATTCTTGATGTCGCGATCAATACCCCTGAAGATGGTGGGTGGTGGGATCTGCTGTTGATTATGAAGGATGTTGTTACGCTGTCTCCAGATGTGATAAATGGTCGCCTGCACCACAACCTTCTTGAGAATGGAGGGAGCAGCAACTGAATGTGATCTGGTCCAAGATAAAAGCTCCGCCCAGGTTCTTAACATATGTTGAGAGGGACTAAGGCGAGCAAAAACCATACTCCATATCTGATGACTGTAACCACAAGCGAGAAGAAGATGCTCTCGCGTTTCTTCCCTATCCGGACAGAGACAACAGAGAGTAGAGATATTCATACCCCATGTTGCTAATCTGACTCGAGTTGGCAATCTATTAAGCTGGGCAATCCACATATTAAAGGCATATTTTGGGACACAACCTTTAAACCATACAGTCTTCGCCCAAGGTTTTCTATCCTCCCGCGGTCTGATCTCTTCCCATGTTATTGAGGAGGAGAAGACAGAAGAGGTAGAACCATTAGTCATCCACCAGAAACTATCCTCCTTGCTTGATAAGGCTGGCAGTGCAATCGTAGTTAGGTGGGTATGGAGGGACAGCTGCTCTTCAGATCTTGGGTCAGGGAGATTCCAACCGGAACTCGAACATGCATCAGAAATACGAGCCTCTCGCGAGAGCCTTAGATTCCTTGGGCCATCAATACCTAAAAAGCGAATTAGATTCCTTGGGCCATCAATACCAAAAGGGGACCAAGAGTCATACCAGAAGCTAGTAAGCTGACCATTGCCCACATGGCTAGTAATGAACCTCTCAGCGAGAGGTCTCAGACTTAGAAGAGATCTCCAAGACCATGAATCCACTTGAGAAGGTTCCACTTGCCAGAACCTCTTATTCCGCAGATGATGTAACTTATGTCATTGAGCCCAAAGAGTTGAAGTTCCTGAAAAGAGCAGCCAAATGAACCTCAAGCAGAGGTTTTTATTCCAGACCGAATACCTTCTCAGGCCCGGACCGCCTTCTTGTTTAGGCAAACAGACCGTTGCCCATGAAACTTTTGCTCCTCTACCATTATCAATACTTCCCGGCAAAAGGAACCTTGCACAGAGCGACTCAATTTTCCTGATACGTCCTTTTGGAAGGATGAATGCAGATATCCAAAACTTAACAGTGCCAGAAATAACTGACGCGATTAACTGAGATCTTCCTGCATACGAAAGAGTCTTAACAGCCCAAGACCTAAACCGCTTGGTAATCTTTTGCAGCAGATCATCATATTCCGATATTCTCAACTTCCGGTACATGAGAGGTAAGCCCAGATAACGGATAGGAAGTGACCCAATTGTGAATCCAAATCTCGCCAAAGCAGTCGATTCAGTTTGGTTCACCCTTGCATGAAACAGTTGAGACTTAGCCTGATTTAGCTGAAGACCTGACCAGGAGGCGAAGTCATGTAAGGCCTCCGTGATGCCATGAAGCGAAGAGCTTCCACCATCGAAGAATATCATGACATCTTCCGCAAACTTTAGGTACGATACCTCGAGCTCTGCAGTTTTTGGATGATAATGAATATAACCCGCATCAAATCTCGCTTTGAGGAACCTGGAAAAAAATTCCATTGACAGAACAAATAAGAACAGGGACAATGGATCTCCCTGTCTCAACCCTTTGGTGTTCTGAAAATACCCTCCTGTCACTCCGTTAACAGACACAGTGAAAGTAGTCGTTGATATACACTGGGAGATCCAATTAACAAACTTTTCTGGAATAGCGATGGCCCGAAGTGCAGAAATCACGAAGTCCCATCTGACAGAGTCGAATGCTTTTCTCAAGTCGACCTTCAGCATTGCACTAGGGTTGATGTTATGCTTGTTGTATCCGTGAACAATCTCAGTTGCAAGGAGAACATTCTCCGCCAACAATCTTCACGGGATAAATGCTGACTGGTATGGAGAGATGACTTGAGCAATAATTGATTGAAAACAAGAAGCCAACAATTTCGAAATCACCTTGTATACCGTTTTTAAGCAGGATATTGGTCAGAAATCTGAGGTGGAAGAAACGTTTGGGATCTTCGGGATTAACACCAGCGTGGTGGCATTCCACTGTCTTAGTAATTTACCCGAAGCAAAGAACTCCTCAACAGCTTCACAGACCTCAGGACCAACAACTGACCAGCAACTGATGAAGAATTCTGCTGAGTAACCGTCAGGGCCACTCGTTTTGTTTCTCGGAAGCCCAAAAAAAGCAGCTTTGATCTCCTCTCTAGAGAACTGCTTGATAAGACTTTGCTTCTGATCATTGGAACATCTGAAGGGCAACAAAAGATCCATATCCTCTTGGATTAGCAAACCCGGGCCAATTTTCCGCCTAAGACATCAGAGAAATAATCCACACAATGTTCAATAATAGCATCATTTGATTCAAAACGGTTACCCACACCGTCGACGAGGAAGTGAATGTGGTTGATTGCCATTCTTGTTGAAGCCATTTGGTGAAAGTAAGCCGTGTTACCATCCCCCTCAGACAACCATAACAATATCGATCTCTGCAAGAAGAAAGCCTCTTCGGCTCTAACCAGAATCTGCCACTTCCGGTGTGCTTCAATTTCTAGGACCGCATTTGCCTGAGATGGATTCGCCAGAGTAAGATTTTGGGTTTGAAGCAACACTATGTGAGCCTCAGAGACTCTTTTCTCCAGGTTCGAGAAATTCTCCTTGCTGAATGCTAGAATAATTTTTTTAAGAAGCTTAAGTTTCCTTGACACTCTAAACATCACTGATCCCACTACATTGCAGGAGAACCAGTGAAGGCAGATCAAAGGCAAGAATTCCTCATTTTGCAAGAGGAAGTTATAAAACTTGAATGGCCTTTTCTGTTTGATCGACGCAAGCTCCAAGACTACTCCACAGGACGCATGATCAGAAAAATCAGGCTCGCCGAAAAGAGCATATGACGATGGGAAAGAAGCAATCCATGCATCATTTACCAAAACACGGTCCAACTTTTTGGCAACAGGGGCTTCACCACACTTGTTCCACCAAGTAAAAGTATTTTCTCTGTAGACTAAATCAGCTAATTCAGAAGCCAACAAGCACTCTCTGAATTCTCTTGTTTTGCGGTCAACATTTAGGGAAGAAGGGACAACTGGTACAATTGGGGTAACTGAATGTAATGGAAAAACCGGTACAATTCGGGTAACTGAATGGAATGGGACAACTGGTAAAATTGGGTTAACTGAATGGAATGGGACAACTGGTACAATTGGGATAACTGAGTTGAATTAGGTTAACTGAAAGGAATGGGACAACTGGGACCCAGAATGTATTGGGACAACTGGTACAATTGGGATAACTGATTGAGATATGTGGGACAACTGGTACGATTGGTACAACTGTGAGAAAATACGAAATATTGTTATTCGTTAATGACTTAGTTTTTTTGGTTTTGTGAACAGAAGAGGATGAGCGGCCACACAAACATACTTTTTGAGTATGGAGGATGTTACTATAAAGAAGGAGAGGAGTTTAAATGGATATCAAGAAGCTCCATCTATGCTATATCATTTAAAACCTCTTTGGATGAGGTTACATATTCGATGGTTGTAGATGGTATATGCAAGAAGATTGGGGTAAACGATAGTAAGAAGAAGCTCAAGTTAAGCTACATTCCGTTGGTAGCTAAGCCACTGAATGAGTCATGTATTGTTGATGATGGTGATGTGTATGTCTATCTAACAAGTGTGGATAAAGAGGGACTTAGATCTGTGTTGCATGTGGAGATAATGGAAGATTTGGAAAGAGATAAGATTCAGGAGCTAGAAACAGGCGATATTATGCTTGAAATCGAGGAAGCAGGGAAAGAACAGGACGAACTTGCTATTGTGGCTGTACCTGAGACTGAGAAACAGATAGTGATTGATGATGTTGTTTCGCAACCGGATGATCATGAACATGTAGAGCCTGCAGAATATGGTATAAATGAGCATGATCACGTAGAGCCTCCTGGGGCTTTAGAACCGACTCGGTTTGTTCTTGAATGGGAAGATGGTGCTGGTTTTTAGAAGAATCAAGAATTTCGATCAAAAGAGGCGTTGCGAGTATTGGTTGACAGAGCTTCGCATAAGGGATGTTTTGAAGTCAAAACAGTGAAGTCTGATCCTGGGCGACTCATTCTTAAATGCCGTCAAGCGGAACATGGTTGTTCATGGTATGTACATGCTGTAAGAATAAAGGATTCAACTTACTTCAGCCTTAGAGTTTACAGGAAAATGCATAGTTGCTCTCGGGTCCTTACCAGCACAATTGAGAATAAAAGAAAAGGCACTCCACAAGTTGTAGCAGATGTTTTGCGTGCTTCGTATCCAGGTGTAGTGGACACACCGGCTCCTAGAAGTATTGTGAAGGTTGTTCAAAATGAAGCTCATGCGAATGTGTCCTACTCTACTGCCTTAAGAGGAAAAAAACTCGCGATTAGTCAAGTGAGGGGTAGTCCGGAAGAAAGCTTTCAAAGATTACATTCTTATCTATATGCGTTGAAGCTGGTGAATCCTGGTACAGTGATGAACGTGAAAGTGGATGGTAATAATAAGTTCAAGTATCTTTTTGTTGCTTTGGGTGCCAGCATAGAAGGCTTTAGTTCAATGAGGAAAGTCATAGTCGTGGATGCGACTTTTCTGAAGAATGTTTATGGTGGTATGCTAGTATTTGCCACGGCTCAGGATCCTAATCATCACCATTACCCCATTGCAATGGGTGTAATCGATAATGAGAAAGACTCTAGTTGGAGGTGGTTTTTAGAAATGCTCAAAACTGTTATACCAGATAATCCTGAGTGACAGACACACAAGCATAGATTTTGTGTGTGGCAGTGCAGGAGGTGTACCCTCAGTCTCAGCATGGATTTTGTGTGTGGCACTTGTCTCGTAATGTGAGGGTTAAAGCAGCCAATGGTTGGAAGGATTTGTGTTCTAAAAAATTCATTGTGTGCGCTCATAAGTACACAGAAAGTGAGTTCCTAATTGCATACACCGAATTTGGTAGAATGTTTCCCAAAGCTGCGGAGTACTTAGAGAATGGTCTTCCTCTTGAAAAATGGGCACGGTGGAATTTTAAAGGAGACAAGTACAACTTCGACACAAGCAATGCCTGTGAATCAATGAACAGCGTCTTCAAGAAGGCGAGAAAGTATGCACTATTGCCTTTGATTGATGCGTATGTTGAGAAAGTGTCTGAATGGTTCAACAGGTATAGGAATAACATAGCTGGTGCATCATATTCGAAGAAAATGGTGCCGTTTGTGGAAAACGAATTGCATAAACAATGTGCAATTGCAACCAAATTAGATGTGACTGAGCTAAATCTACCTGGGCTTGAATACAGTGTAGTTGGAGTTGATGGGAAGAACTATCTGGTTAATTTGGATACAAAAAGCTGTGGGTGTCGCATGTTTGATATTGATAAGATTCCATGTGTTCATGCAATACCCGCAACCATTGCAATGATGCGGAAGTCCTCAAGAAGAAGAGACTTACACATTTTCGATTTATGCTCGAGATACTACTTGATTGATACTTGGGCTATGGCTTACCACAGAACCATCTATATGGTGCCGCATCATTCTACTTGGATTATTCCTGAGGAGGTTGCTAATTTAGTTGTTTACCCACCAGACTACACCAAAAAAGCAGGAAGAAAGAAGGAAAAGCGGTTTCCTTCCACCGGAGAAGCTCGCAGGAGTCAGAAGGCCAACCCAAACATAAACATTGGCCGTTGGTTTCAACCACTAAACTCAAGGGAAGAAGAGGGTGAAGAGGGTGAAGAGGGTCAGAGCGGTCAGAGCTAGGTCTAAGGAATATTTTGGAGTTCATTTGTATTTTAATTATCTTGGATTTCTTGCAATACTATGTATTTTGGAGTAATTTGTATTTTGAATTTTTTGGATTTGGAGAATGTCAACAGGGCAACTAGGTTCAATTAGGTGCAACTACGTCCTAAACCCAGGCAAACTACGTACAACTAGGACACCTAGGGCAACTAAGACAAGTAGGTACAAAGTGGACAACTAGGACAACTATGACAACTAGGACAACTATGACAAATAGGGCAACTAGGACAACTAGGACAACTATGACAAATAGGATAACTAGGACAACTAGGACAACTATGATAACCAGGACAAACTAATTTCTTTAAATTACTAAACACTAAACAAATACAGCCCTATACCTTAACTACTGTATACTCAACGACTACGCTTGGAAAATCAAATAAACTTATTATTTTCTGAAAATAAGATAAACCATTTGTGTTTTTAATGAAATAACCCTTATGGTATAAGGCATTCTTTGACAATGGTTTCCATCTTATAAGAGGCTAAACGTAAAAATATGGGAAATATAAAAGGATGGTCGTGAAACCCTTGGGGCAGGTATACAATGTTCAAGGGTTGAAGGGACAACTAAAAAAATGTAGTTCTTGATAAAGGACAACTGAAAAAAACTTAAAAATTGACAAAAGGACAACTATGAGAATTTTGGGACAACCGGACAACTAGGTACAACTATGATGTCACCAGAAAATGCACGTGTGACAATGGCGGCTAAGGATAATATTATATGTTATTTTTTTCTTTTTGGTTGTCGTTTACCGTTTTTTCTTTCATATAAAAGGGTCAAAGGGTTCTTCTCCTATTATTCTCTTTCCCATTTTTTTCCCCCAAATAGGTTTTTTAGGGTTTCCGCTGCATCATGGATAAATATCAGAAAGCCCTCGCGAAATTGGCTGAAAAGAAGAATGATGGCTCTTCTTCTCTCTTGCCTAAGAAGGATTACGGGATGACCACTAGATGGGGACCCGAAGTCAATGGAGTCAGGACCATTCTGCCATGCCCTGTACAAAAGGGAATTCCAAAGGTTTGTTATTGAGGCTTAGCTCCAATTGGGTGTTTAACTGACAACTCCGCGCTGGACAGGGGCCGGAAATATTACGGTTGCTTCTACGGCTGTTGTGGGCCAAAAAATTTCCCAGAAGTAAGTCAATTGGGTGTTAATTTCGATTTATAAATTGAGTATCATCTGAATTTTTTGGGTTTTCAGGTTCCCAATTGTGGCTTCAAGAAATGGTGGGATGTCGCAATACTTGAAGAGATTGAAATGCTCAATGATACTGAAGAAGCCATGCGGACTTTGTTTGACACCGTTTTCTCCAAGTTAAACCAGTTGGAGTCAAAGGTGGCATCCCTTGAGGAAGCTATAAAAAAGAGTTAAGGATGAAGAAGATGAGCTTTTCAGTTTCTTATTTACCTTTTTTCCCCATGTTATGTTGCTACTCTCCTTTGTTTTATTTTGAACTATTTCTCCTAAATAAAACTACGCAGTTGTACCAGTTGTCCTGAAAAAGCAACTGAAGTTGTACCAGTTGTCTTTAATAAAACAAGGAAATTGTACCAGTTGTCCTAATATATCGCATTAAGTTGTACCAGTTGTCCTAATAAAACAGAAAACATAAGGTTGTACCACAAAGAAAAACACATAATCTTAAACATAAACAAGACATTCTACTTCTTGGCTTTCTTGTTTTTTCCCGCAGAAGTATAAGGCGACTTTTTGTACTGTGACTTTTTCCTGGGCCTCTTAGTTCCACCTCTACCTCTACCGGCTTTTGAGGAGGATGCTTCTGGTGGTGCTGCACGTGTTGAGGCGGATGCAGGTGGTGGTGCAGTTGATGGCCGAACATCCCAATACATGAACTCAACTTCCTCCGATGTGTCAACCAGCTTAACCTTGTAACGGTTGTTCGCCACAATTGCCCTCACTATCCCTTGATGCCGGACATCACGCTGCAACACCTCCACACGATCCAATAAAGAGTACGACGAGTTTAGGGTAGGACGTGATGCACCTGGTTGATGGGAGCCACCTGCGGGTGAATGAGAGGAGACTGGTGAGGACGCGGGTGGTGGTTGACGGGTGCCAACTGGTGAAGATGCGGGTGGTGCAGAGGATTGGTGAAGGACTAACTGCTCAAGCGTCGCCACTCTTTTTTCCAACAGACCAATGGTAGCCCTCAGCTCCAACAATGATGTCGACTCAGGTGCTGGTACTTGAGGAATGTCGGCTCTGATTCCACCCCGATGTTGAATGTCTAACTCATACAAAGATCTCCAGAAGATCTTCTTCTTCTTCACCGTGAGATGATGCATCCATTCCTCAACACCTACATCAATGAGTCCTATCCCATCATCATAGCCAGGATCTAATATCCGACTCAATAGTTTTTCTTCACTCGAGTCTGCAGGCTTCAAGATGCTATGAATGTCCTGGCACCAAAAAAAAACAAATTAGTGACAAACCAAAATAAAAGAAACATAGTTGTACCAGTTGTCATAATTGTCCCACAACCAATAATCTTTAATATTGCATAGTTGTACCAGTTGTCCTAATTGTCCCACGACCAATAATCTTTAAGATTGCATAGTTGTACTAGTTGTCTTAATTGTCCCACGACCAATAATCTTTAATATTGCATAGTTGTACCAGTTGTCCTAATACCACTACCAACAAGTCAAACATAGTTGTACCCTATTGTCCAATAACCAAACCCATCAAATACTAACCTTTGCACTTGTTCCAATTGCTGAGTTTATATCATTCAATGGAATGTCTTTCATGCATACATCGGTGAACTTGTGCTTGCACATCCTCAGACAGTCTTTCTCTGCAGGTACGGCTTCTCAAAATTTGCGGCCAAGGCTATGAATACACTCAAAAGCAAGTATCTACACAAAAAGTCAAAAAATTAAACCCTAAATTATGTAAATAAATTAACTTCTATAAACTATTGAATGAGAATTACCTGTAGAGGAAGAATGAAACCAGACAAGGGACATTCTACTTTTTTGTCTTTCATGCTGCCATTAAACTTTGCCATCACACGCCGAATCTCCTTCATCATGTCATCGAATGTGCAACGCCCCCAAGGGAATGATTTACACACATTCAAATCACTGACAACTCTGAGCAAGAACGGATCAATGTTACCATCAGTCTTGTATTTCGCCTTCACTACCTTGCATAAAAACCAGAGGAGGGCCATTTTCTTCCTGTCCACAGAGGGCTCCTTCATTTCATTTAATTTTTTTTCCACCTCCCCAATCTTGATTTTATCCGCCCTACCAAAGTGCTTCTTAACAAACTTTGTGTTCCCCAAATTATTGTAGTCAGCCGGACAAACCAGCACTCACTAAGCCTATCAGTATGAGCAGTGTGAAGGAGAAGCATCCACAACCCTTGATTCATGTGGTTGGGCTCCTTGAACATGAGAAAAATGTGCTTAAATTGAGGATGCGCTCTGAACCATGCTTTCTCCTCATCAAGCTTATCAATCTTGTCCACAACAGCTCTAACTGAGCACCTTGTCAATATCCTACAACCCTGGCTGTACTCGGTTGGACTGAAGCAAAGCTTCTCAAGCATCATCGGTTGACTACCATCATCGGCATCCTGAGATAAAAAACAAGAAACACAATCATATGACATTTAGTTGTCCCAATTATCCCAGTTGTCCAAATGCCAAACATAATTCGTGCAAATAGTTATCCTAGTTGTCCTAGTTGTCCTAGTTGTCCTAGTTGTCCTAGTTGTCCAACGACCAAACATAATTTCATCAAACACAGTTAACCCAGTTGTCCCAGTTGTCCCAGTTGTCCAAATGCCAAACATAATTTCGTGAAAATAGTTATCCTAGTTGTCCTAGTTGTCCAACGACCAAACATAATTTCATCAGACACAGTTATCCCAGTTGTCCCAGTTGTCCAAATGCCAAACGTAATTTCATCAGACACATTTATCCTAGTTGTCCCAGTTGTCCAAATGCTAAACATAATTTCGTTCAAATAGTTATCCTAGTTGTCCTAGTTGTCCAAAGACCAAACTTAATTTCGTTTATAGTATACTTACCTCTAAATCTTCATCTGCCTCTTGGCCATCCTCTTCTTCTGCTGCATTTTCTTCCTCTTCATTTCCTTCTTCTCCTTCTTCCTCATCGTCTTTCTCGTGTGTCCCCCTCCCTCTTCGTCTGCTTCTTTCTCGGATTCCTCTTCTCCACTATCTTTCTTGGATTGATCATCCTCGACTTCCTCTTCTCCTGTTTCCTTCTTGGATTCCTCTTCCTCGGCTTCTTTCTCTGATTTCTCTTCCTCTCCTTCTTTTCCTGAAGCTTCATCCTCAGATACATCTCCTTTGCCTTCTTTCTGGGATTCTACCACACCCTCTTCCTCGGCTACTGTATCCGCTAAACCCTCTTTCTCAGGTTCTTCACGAGATTTCAACCGCTCCTCTGGTTGATCCGTCGCACCCTCGTCCATGGGTGTTGATGCGGTTTCAGGGGCTTCTTTGGTGGTTTCCGTAGCGGCTGGGTCTGCTTCCATCAATGATTCTTCTTCACCCCGAGTTTCTTCATGGGTTGTTTCTTCATCATTCGCCGGAGGGTTTGGTGTTATTTCGGGGTCTTTATCTTCCATATCTGCTTCTTCGCTGCGCTTGGGTACAGATTCGTTCGAATCATATACCACGCCCTTTAGTCGAATTTTAGCCATGGAGTTAGGGTGGATTTAGGGTTTGTCTTGATGAAGTTCGAAGGCTAAATTATGTAATAAATAGTACGGGCAATTGAAGAAGGGGAAGTTGAAGAAGGAGTAGTTACAAAATCAAGTGTCGTTTCAAGGGGGAAGTTGCAGAATTTTCGGAAGAGAGAAGGAAGTGGAGATAGCCGTTTGGGAAAGATGAAGAGAGAAAGGAGGAGGAGAAATTTTGATTTGAGCTCGGTTTTAAGTTTATCAAATTTGTTTGGTTTTCAAAATTAAATCCACTCGGTTCGGTTTTGTTTACCCAATTTTCGGTTTAACAATTTCAATTTTCTATTTTCTGATTTCAAAATTGAATAAGTTTTTTTTAAAAAAAAAGAAATTCCATTTTTTCGGGTATTCGGGTCGGGCATAAAACGGGTGGGTTTTACCTTATATTTTCGTGATTATAGAGACATATAAGGATAAGGGTATAATTTCCCACGTTTTTGTTAATAAAATTAATTCAAAAAGAAATTAGTTTTTAGGCACATGGCTTCTTAGCCAACTTTTTCACGTCTTATGGCTTTTCAGCCTCGTATGGAGAGAGTTATGTGGGGACCACCTTTTCCATATACTTTTTGAATAGAGTTTTTACTATGATTAATATGTGTAAAGTATAATTTTACTAATATATGAAGATGTAAGGTTGATATTTTGAAAGGTTATATATATATATATATATATATATATCTTGATATAAGGTTGATATTTTGAAGTGATTTTTTGTGAGATTATATGCAAAGTTAGTATAAATATATTTGGGTCTGCATATTTCAATATTCATATTTTTTTTAAATGGTGTACATGTAGCAGCTGATATGGCAGCACTAGATTTCTCTTTATATATATAGATAAGAAAATTTTTACAACCTCTAAGATTTCTTGACACATTGATTGATCCCACGATTCTCACTGTACCTTGTGATCTGGTCGCAATATTTTTTTTTTTTGAACATATTCTTCTATTTAAATTGCATGAGAAAAAAAAAGGTTACAGGGCCTTGCCCAGTTGTTTTTTAGCCCAAAAGCTAAGTAGCTAACAAGCTCATAATGCACACAAGTTGGAAATGAATTGAACCAGTTATAAATCGTTGGGCTGTAACTAGAGGGGCCCAATGAGTTGTGAAACGTAGTTTGGATCGGATTGGGGAGGTGTTGTTGAAGACGACTCAACTACCAGAATTGATGATCAACGATGATTCCAAGCATCTCAAACCCTAGCCGCAGTGATTAAGATCGATCTGACGAGGCAAAATAGAAGAACGACAAGGAGTATCAGGGAGCCTGCGAACCTTGGAACCATTTTTGGAGTAGCCCAGAAGCAAAGGCCGGTCTAGAAATTCGAAGGCTCGATGCTCTGTTTCTGATGAGGCTGTCGATGAGAGAGAGTAGAGTGTCGCCTGATTTGAAAGTGTTTCGGTGGAGCCGGTGATTACGCTCAGTCCAGATACAATAGATTGTTGCTTGCCAGCCCAGAAGTTGCAGTGATTTAGTTGTCTTATTACCTTGAAGTGATTGCAGCGATTCCAGAATATCATCCCAACGACGGAGGAGAGGTAAATTCACTTTCCTTGCTATTGTCTCCCATATATTCCATGTATAGTTGCATTCAAAAATAGATGTGACCGTGATTCATTTCCTGCAGCACACAGAAGACACGAAGGGCTAGTTTGGAGGCCCCAACTTAGAATCCGATCTCTGGTTGGACATCGATTAAGGGTGAATAGCCATGTCAAGAACATATGCTTAGGGATTCCACCCGAGAACCATACATGCTGCGACCAAGGTACCAGTTCTCCCCTAATTTTTAAAAGCTTGTAGACCTTACCTGTTTCATATGGTGGAGATTTCTTATCATCTGGCCACCATTCATAGAAATCGGGATTTGCAGAGAGGTTGATAGAAGTTAAAAAGATTTGAAAATGGAGCTGGTGATCTGATCGTGCATGTGGAATTCTCCAGGCGTTGTCTCTCCATAAAGAGTGCAGGGAAGAGCTAGAGCAGATACCTAGTCGTTGTGGACCCAAGTGACCCAAATAGAGCTTGAGATTTCCAAATGGAGACCAGTTGTCTGACCAGAAGAGGCAACTTTTGCCATTTTCCACTTTGAGCTTGATCAGCGGGTAAATCCAATCTCTGATCCTTAAGAGTTTGTTTGCCTGCCATGAAAATTTCTGTTTTGGATTCTCTAACCAAAATTACTTAGGTTGTCAGAAAGAACTTCTTTTTTGTAGCAGGCTACCCAAACAGATCCAGCTTTAAAGAAAAGGAGCCAGATCAGCTTGAATATACATGCTTTATTCCAACTCAACAGATCTCTTAACCCAAGACCCCCTTCTTCCTTCGACAAGGTAACTGTATCCCAAGAAACTCTTGCTGTGTGTCTTCCTTCAGTAGTACCTTTCCATAAGAAAGCACTACATAGGGAGTTTATTAAAGAGATGCACTTTTTAGGGAGGACAAAGGAGCTGCACCAGAAGTTTGTGATCCCTGCGATGACACTATTAAGGAGTTGTAGGCGACCTGCAAATGACAGAGATCTAGCAGACCAAGTAGACATTCTGCTCTTGATCTTATGAAGAAGCGGTTCACAATTTAGGAAGGTCAGTTTTTTGGTGCAAAGAGGCATACCTAAATATCTGATTGGCAAGATTCCGTGACTGATTCCTGTGTCTCTTTCTAACTGCAGGATTTCAGGAGATGTGAGACCAGAAGAAAAGAACGAAGTCTTTGAGATGCTAAGACCCAGGCCAGAGACCGCTTCAAACTCCCTTAAAATTTGAAGAATGTTTTGAACGGATGAAGCCGAACCTTCAGAGAAGATAAGTAAATCATCTGCAAAACATAGATGAGTGAGTTTTGTGTCTTTGCATTTGGCATGATATGAAAATTTTCCTTCCTCAGCCACTTTGTTTAGGAGAAGAGATAAGCAGTTCATTGCAATGACAAAAAGATAGGGAGATAAAGGGTCGCCCTGTCGGAGTCCTCTCTTTCCTTTGAAAAACTCATTCACTGTTCCATTGAAACCAACTGTGAAAGCGGGAGTGCAAATACATGCTTCCAGCCAGCGAAGGTAGTCTCCAGGGATCTCTAATCCACTCAGGCAAGTAAATAAGAATTCCCGTCTGATGCTATCAAATGCCTTGGCAATGTCAACTTTGATTGTCACTCTTTTTGGCCCCTTGTTTTTGTGGTAGCCATTAACTATCTCAGCAACAAGAATAGTATTTTCCACTAACAGCCTATCTTTTATGAATGCAGTTTGGTTTGGAAGAATGAGATCTGGGAGAATCGGCTTCAGCCTGGACACCAAAAGCTTTGAGATGGTCTTATACAAGGCTGTGCAGCAAGATATAGGCCTGAAATCAGTAATGAGAGAGGCGCCTGGTTTCTTAGGGACGAGCGTAAGGATTGTTGAGTTTACCGCAGAGGGTAAAAAGTAGGTTGAGAAGAAGTGGAGGATTCCTGCAATAGTCTCATTTCCCACAACAGACCAAGCAGCTTTGAAGAAACCAGAGGTTAGACCGTCGGGGCCAGGAGCTTTATTTGGATTCAACTTTTTCATTACAGACACAATCTCTTCAGCAGAGGGAACTTTTGACATAGAAGATTTGATGGCGAGGGGGACTCTGTAGTCAGTGATAGACTGGAACCAGGCCGGTGTGATAATTAGGGGCGAAAGATTAGGGGGAGCCAGGATATTCTGGAAATGATCAACGGCCAGGAGACACATTTGAACAGGATCAGATATGATGAGCCCAGCTTCAGTTTGGAATGAGCGGATGGAAGAAGGTAGAGTTTTGATCACCCACATATAACCAATTGATTCTTGATTTTTGCTTGAAAAAAGATTCTTCGATGAGCCTGAGGAAAACTAGTTTTTCTGATAGTTCCCTTTCTTTCTGAAACAGGTATGGCGAAGAGGAAGGCAAGGCTTGTACCTGAACACAATTCAACAGATCGTTAGTAACTCTCACTCTCCTTTGAATTTGTGAAAAATTATTTTTGTTTAGAGTTTTTAGAGAGGCTTTTATGGATTTTAGCTTGAAGCTCAGAGATGCCAATGTAAGTGCTTCACTTCCGGCTTGAATCCAAGCAGTCTCAACCGTGGAGGGAAAGAGAGGATGGGAGGTCAAATAGTTGAGGAATTTGAAAGGTCTAGTTCCACCTTGGGGAAGAGGGCAGACAAGGTCTAAAAGGCAAGGCGTATGGTCTGAAAAATCAGGAGGAAGGAAGTTGGCAATGCTGTGGGGGAAGCTAGGGAGCCAATTCCTATTAACAAGTAGCCGGTCGAGTTTCTTTGCAACTGGCGAATAAGGCTGCTTGTTTGTCCAAGTGAGGCGGGTACCCTGGTAACGAATGTCAAACACGTCCAGATCATGGAGACAAGTACTCAGCTCTCTCATTCTACTAGTGATATGATTGATAGAGCGACTTGAGTGTTCTTCATAGTGTAGAATTTGATTAAAATCACCGCCAAGCACCCAAATACATTGGTCCAGGTTGAGCGAGTGCTTTAGGGCTCTTAATTCTAACCATAGCTCTTTTCTTTCTGCGTCTTGATTAGATGCATAAATTGCAGTGTAGATGATATGAGTACCTCCTTGGATTTGCAGATCAACAGTGAGAGATTGTCTGGACTGGTGGAGAGTTCTTACAGTGACAGAGTTCTTCCAGATGATCACAATTCTACCGTCATCATCAGATTGGTGGTTCGAAGTAAAATTCCAGCATGGGCAGGTGCGGTTGATAACTTGGTTCAGATTCATTTCCTTAATGTGAGTTTCCAAAAAAGCTCCAAATAGGGGCTGATGAGCTTGTAACCAAAAATTAAAGGGCCATGTTTGTCCGTTTCATTTAGTCCACGGACATTCCAAAAGAAGAGTTTGGGATTCATAGAGGTTGAGGGGAAGACACTCCATGGGATTGGAGGGATTCCTCAACGGGTAATAAGAAAGGATCAGAAGAAGAGATAATTAAAGGAGGAGATAAAGGGCAGAAATTTGAAATAAATGGTTCAGGAGAAAAAGATGGGTTAGAAGCAGCTTGGGCGAAGGAGACAAGCAGAGAACAATTTGAAGAAGAGGGAGGAGTGAGAAGAGATTTTTCTGAGGAAAGAGGCAGGTGTTTAACTTTTTCTGGGGATAAAGGCAAGTGTTTAGCTTTTTCTGGGGATAAATGCAAGTGTTTAGCTTTTTCTGAGAGACGAGATGGAGGGGGTGAACCAGCGAGGGAAGGAGAATTTTCTGATGGAGGAGGGTTGGATTTAGCATGTCCAGAAGGGAGAATGCACATGGCAGAGGGAGGCGAGATGTCAGATTGAGAAACTGGGTCAGAAGAGGAGGCCAAGGGAAGGGGGTTGGAAGAAGGTGGGAGAGACACCTCGGCTAGGGAATGTTTTGAAGCAGGGACCCAAGCACGAGAAGCCTTAACATTGCTTGGAGCAGATCTCGGCAACCAAGAAGGAGTGAGAGATGGACAATGTCTAATGACATGGCCTAATTGTTTGCAGTGGGAGCAAGAAGAGGGTAACCAAGGGTATTCCACATTGACAGCGAAAGATTTTCCACTAGTTCTCAAAAGTTCAATATGTGATGGCAAGGACTTTGTGAGATCGACTGCCACTTTTACATGTGCCACACAGACACTCGTGAGTTTCTTTGTCCACTCGTCCATTTCAATTGGCTCTCCAATTTCGCCTGCAATAAGACTTAATCCTTCATTATGCATCAGGTCAAAGGAAACATCTTTGAGATGAGCCCAGATGGGAATGTTCACCAGGGGAGGAGTGTCTCTTGCAGAGTCTTCAGACCAAGCCACAACATGGAACAATGTAGTATCAATATGCCAGATGCATTTCTGGAGAACTTTCTGTCGGATAAAATCATTGGGAATCCTTACAAGCATTTTCTTCTCCAGAGGGAAAAGATGGACTTCAATCTTTTGACCCTTTCCCCACATATGATTGAGGACGCTCTGGACAAGACCGATTGGAGGAGTTCTACCACTAAAGTACACAACAATGAACTCTTTGTGGAGAGCTGCTCCTCTTTGGAAGACTTCATCAGGAATCAGGAGCCCTGGTACCATTGATAGAGGGCGACTGAGGAGCTAACCTTTTTAGAGTTTTATCCGCAGCTTTTTTCATTCTTTGTGCCTATGTTTCAGGAACTGGACCGGCAGAAGCAATTGGGGAGACAGGGATAAGGGGAGAATGGGCAAAAGATTGAAGCAAGTGGGAGCCAGCTGGGTCAAACTGGGGGACCTTATCTGCAGAGCACTGACTTTTCCCTGAAACTTGGAGCAAGGGAGAAGCGGATGGTGTGGGAAGAATTCCCGAGTCCGGAAGGTTGATAAGATTCTGCTTTACCGAATCAATACCACTAGAAGAATCTTTAATTTCTGGAGAAATTGGAAGATTTAAAACCCCCTTGTGAACAGTGAGTTTTGACCTAGAGTTTCCAACTCCAGATAATGGGTGGATATTAATAAATTTCTTTAGCAGAGAGTCAATTTCTACAGCAGTGGGGTGAGAAAGAAGAGGTGAGGAGGTCATTGCTGCAGCTTTGACGAGGAAGCAATTTGCATCACAGTATTTTTGGAGAAGCAAAGGGAGGAGGAGGAGGGGAAGAACGGGGAGGGAAAGAGGATAAGTCTATGCGGTCAGGGGGGTCAGGGGGGAGAAGAGGGGGAGGCGGAGGGGAATGGGAGTTGGGGCTGCCAGGATTCGAGCTTGAAGATCGACCATTGGGGAACCAGCGGTTCACCTGAGAGAGCTTCATATTTAGATAGTCTTATTTTTATTTTTTTTGGTTGTCCGGTCGCAATATTTGTCACATGCGTTTTGTTTTTTTCGAGTTTGCTTACATTTGTTAACTACGTATCCAATTTTTTAGGAAAGATGCCATGTGGAAAATAGTTTTAGATTTTGGTGATTGCGTTTTCAAACTGCGATTTTTGCAATAGATTGACTATCCCGACTACCCTTAAGCATCTTCCGCAAGTTTCATGACCACGCGGTCCAACCGTACCATAGAAAGTTGTCCAGCCATAAGCCAGTCGAGCTACTAAGATGTTCAGCTTATACTTCATGCGCAATTCGAGCTACTGGGTAGTCTTGAGGTCGGATGTTCAAAAAAAAAAAAAAGATGTTCAAAAAAAAAAAGGGTAGTCTTGAGGTCGGGAGTTCAAATCTCTCTCACACCATGATTTAATTTCCATTTTCCTCGTTTTCACTTTCCTTGATCCCCCTTTTATTTCCTACACAAAGTTTCTATCAAACTTATTTATTCTCAACTTTCATTGTTTCAAGTACATTGTATCAACGAAGGTGTTCACAACCGTTTTAGACAAGTCCCTGCTACTATTACCAAATCTCGAAATTGACCTAGGTACCATCGTTAACAACACTGTCTTCATCGCTAGAACTTGAGCTTTCCACTACACGACCCATTGAAGATCCAGAGAAACCTGACAGATTTTCATTACTTTTATCCTTGCTTTCAACGGTCGAGGTAGGAGTTACAAAGGTAACAACACCAGCAGCCGGTTTTCGGTTTAAGGTTTCTGGTTTGGGAGCAACGAGTCCTTGTTCCTCCATGGTTTCACGAGCTGCTCTTTCCTTAGCTTTCTTGGCTCTTTCAAATACCTCTTCCTGCATATCAAACTATCTATCAACATCGCAATATTGCAAATTATTGAGCTTTTCAAAGTATGATTCTACAAAGATCACAAACCTTCTCAGCTTGTTAATAACTAACATCTAGAGTATAGTTTAAATAGCTCTCAAAACTAATAGCAGCAGTCATACGATAAGGTCTTCTTAGCTCATAACTACTCTAACTAGTTTTACGCGTTGAGAGAAGTCCGGATTTTGTTTCCGATTAGTGAGAGAGTTATAGACTTCTCTTTTTGATCGTATAAAGATAAAAGAGTTCAAGTACCTGAATCTCTTGAACTTGTTTCTGTTGCTCAGCTTGGAACCTTCCAATTGTACCCAAAACTTCTCCAACAGTAGACTCAATCCGCTCGTTGATAACTTCAGCTAGTGCCTTTCCCAAAAAGAAAGCATCTAACACACTTCTGTTTTCGTTTTCACCTGCAAAAACAAAAACCCCAAATTTGATAACGGTTTCTTGATGGTACGAAGAATCATAATCAATATTGCATTAAAGAACATTTGCAATCTACATTAAAGATTGGGTTTTTATGTCTTCACTTTGTCCGAAACCCCTAAAATTTCCGTTTCTTCACTGTTGATTTCAGAATTTTATTAAAATCATAAACCCTAAAATCAAATTCCAGATAAAGGAAGCGTCATTCGCAGTTTTGTTTCAATACTCAGAAACAAAACTCAAATTCAAAGAGATTTTTCACCTGAGCTTGTACCTCTGTTCCCTTTGCTGCAGCAATTGCATCTTAAGGAGGTTCTTTGAGCCTCCCCACTTAAGCGTAAGCCGCAAAACTCAAGGTTGGAACGAGGTTTGTGGGAAATGAAGCGAAGACGAGAAGGGTGATGATAAGCATTGGAAAGAGAGAATGAGGAAGAAGATGAAATCGCGAAGCTGCTCATCTTTTTCTGTCTCTCTCTCGTCTCGTCGTCGTCTCAGGTTTCGGGTAACCACTCGATCCGATTCGAGTTATCATTGGACCTTATAGGCCCAAATCTCTTTTTTCTTTTCTTTTCTTTTCTTTTCTTTCCATCCGATGTTTTTTTATTTATTATTTGTTCTGTTAAACCTACAAAAGCTAACGGAAAATATAGAAATCTTCGAAGATATAAGCCCAAAACAGAAGTACAATCTCAAAGAGAAGGGATCCTGAGACGAGGAGCAACTTTTTGGCTATTTGACCTTCGAATCACCGCTCACAACCAAGAAAGACGCAAAACCGTCACTTGATGATGAGGACATGAGCTTAGCGGGTCCTAAAGAAGACCAAGTTCCATGAGAAATTAACCAATAACCAGATCTAGTGTAAGGAACCTGCCTAAAGGAAGAATTTAACAAGGCCATATACAATTTTTTCCACAAAAAAAGTTTTGAAAATATAACTGCGCAAATGGACCGATTGGTATTTGGTAAAGGGGTTTGTATTCCTTTGTTGGTGGATTAGTTCCTCTGCGTTTGTCATTGCCTTGCTATTTCACTACTGTTGTATGGTTCTGTTGATCAGTTGAAAGTCGTGTAGAGTATTCGGTTTGCAGATTTGCCAACAATTTCAAGTGTTTAAGCATCATCGTTTCCAATTTCGAGAGGTGGTTTTAGTCAGGCTCTATTTGTTTGTGGCTTTTTTCGATCTCATTTGTCTTGTGGAATGTTCTTTTATCAAGGTTCAATCGGTGTTTTCTCCGCAAGTTTAATAAGGTAAAGTGTTCGTACTCTGCTTCCCCCTTTACTCACATACAATCTATTTCGTTTGTTTGGTATTGTCAATTCATTGTTGGTTTTGTCATATCTATTTATATTCTGTTTATATCTTGTTTGTTGCTTTTATTTGGGTGTTGTAGCTTTGTTTTCCTTGTTTGGACGTTTTATTTCAGCTTTGTCTCTTTTATTTGGGCTGTAAACTCTAGATTGATTTTTATTTTTGCGGCTTTGTTGTAGTGTTAAAACTTCAGATTTCAATATAATCTTTAGACGAAAAAAAAGACCAACTGACCATCAGCTGGACCAGAGAAGAACTCATACAACAACCAAGACCATGAAGAGTTATTCAATACTGGCCCAAATGCAAGTCCATTTGTCCCAATGATCGAGTGGCCGCTTTTAAAGACCCATTGCGGACCATCTTTGTTCATCATTACACAAGTTCAAAACAACGCAGCTTGAGGACGATCTATATACCAAAGACGCCAAGGATACTTGCCTTATTTGGACGGGTGTGTAAAACCCAAGGTATATATATATATATATATATATTAACACTGATTTATTAAATTTATTACAAATTATGAGAATATCACAACAACGATTTTACAATGGAAAGTTTTACCATTATATGAGCATCCACGCCAAACTGTTCCATCTACACCATGTTTTCACACTATATATTATTTAAGAGCCATTTTCAAAAATATACAGAAGATATTTGTTTTTCATTAAATAGGATATTAGTATTTAATTTTAAAAATATTAAAATTTTACATATTTTAAAATTATAATCAAAACATCTATTCAAATAAAAATCTATTTGAGATTTTGCAATATTATTTACTATAAATTGTATTATTTTATTTAAATACATATCAAAACAAAAGTTAAAGGATCAAATTTATTTATATTTTAGTCAACTGCAAAACGTTAAGTAATTAGGTTAGTTCGATTTGACAATTTTATTTATTTTAATTAGTTACTAGGATATTGGTCTGCATGCGGGCTTGAATGTTTTTATAAAATTTGAATGTTATTGGGTATATTGTTAACTTTATTGGGTCAGATTTTACAATTGATAGTTTACATTGTGTATGGGTACAATGTTACTAATTTTGGGCCGAATGTTAGGTTATTGGTATAAGATTTAGCGTGTGTCTTAAAATTGGCTCATATTTGCAGTAATATATTCTACGTGGTTATAATTAGGTATGTATAATGAAGAAAATATATATAAAAAATATATGTAATTATGAATACAGGCCTTAATTTTATGTTTTTAAGCTATTTTTAAAAATTTGACATTTCTGAAAATATTTTATAGAATATAGTTGAAGATGTATTCATTTATCTCAAAATGTATCTTTTTCGGAATTTGTGATAAATCAGTAAAATGTTAGTTAATATATTTTAATTATAAACGATTTTTGGGGAATATGAAACACACGGATGCAACATGAGTAGTCACTCTCTAGGCATTCTATAAATACACAACAGAAAAGAATTTTCATTAAGTAACTAAGCAAACATTTACTCACTCAAACACAACCCATACTACAAATATTCTTCTGATGTGATCCTCTCACAGACGTACAAAAATATGTTTACATGAAAGAAAAATATATGTTTTCCTACATAATATTTCTTGTGCATCTGTGAAGAATCACAGCAGAAGTAGTTTTATTCATTGTGTTGCCACAATCTTATTGTAATTATGTTACTTTTGAATGCTCACTTTCGACAGGAAGTACATCGTTAGTACTTTATACCAAATTCTGAAGAGAGTATTGACTGTGTAGTTCTTGTAGAGTTAGATATAAGTAATATTGATCAGTAGGTAAAAATAATTTTATAACGTTTTCCCTAAGTTTTTGCTATTGTAGATTTTTTATTATTCATTGGAATTTTTTGAAAGAACTCTAATTCTGTAAAATAATAGTTATTTACTTCGAATGAGAACCAACATTGTGTAACAAATACAAACCTTTTAATTGGGAGTGGAAATGTTAATCTAGAATGGTTTTTCTAATTTATAGCATTGTTAGATTTATTATTTCTCATTTGTAATTATTTGAAATAACAAATAACTCGGATTTATCTAAACTATGTATGTCAGTTATAATTGAAATTTTATAAGTTGAATTATTTTTAGAGTGATTTCGAGAAGTTGTGATATAATTTATCCTATGAAAAATTAAGTTACGATTAATCTGCATCAACAATACTTTAAACTTACGATTATAACGGTTTATTCACTATTCAAAGATGATATAAATTATAAGTTACAGTAAATTTTATAATGATTTAACATATTTTGTTATGTATTAATTATGTAATATGTAACTTCTGCAAATGTAGTAATTTGAAATAGTAACTGATTTAACTTAGTATTTCATAAATTCAACATATAATGTACTGTAAACAATGAGGACGATTAAAAAAAAGTACCTTATTGAAATAAAAATATGTCATGCAGTTTTTCAAAATAAAATAAAGATTGACATTTAAATCTAATAGACTGGGAATAAGCCCCTTGCATAGCAAGCTTCTCTGAAGTTGTCGTATACAACACTAGTAAATATTCAGATATCTTCATAACTACAAGGACCTCTAATGATATTCAACAGACAACCCAAATAAAACATCTCTCCATCATAAATTGAATAATGTTGAAGAATAGTTGGATTTCCTGAACTTTTTACCCATGGCCTCCACTCATGCAGTGTGGCAGTCTAGACAAATTGATGAGATAGTTCAGTATAGAGCAAGAATCTGGCAGTTGCGTATATCTTGTTACACTCCATCCAAGCAATAAATTTTGTATTTTTCATAAGTTTGTTGGCCTTGTTTCGCTTGGAAAAATTTATGCTTGGTAGATGAAATTAAATAATTTCTGAAAACAATGATAAAGAACTTGTTAAAACTTGTAAAAGGAAACAAATAATGTACTATAATAAGTTATTAATCGTAATTCTCTATAAATCTATCAAAATGTTTCTTAATCAATAAAAGTGGAATGCAGAAGGCTTACATATCCTGTTCATAGCTCTAGAAATGGGGAATATGGAGATTTTTTAATCAGTGTAATAAATGAAGTTCCAGGTCACAAATATGATGTAAATATATATTTGGATTAAATAGGGTTTTCATGAATATACGAAAACTTTAAAGATTGCAATATGCATCTGGTTTTAGAAAGTAATAACAATATATAAATATCTTATATATTAACTTTATAAAAATCCTGAATATATTGGTTAGATAATTCAATTTGTAGAAAATAGCTTCATAAGAATATATATTAGTTCGAAATTATCGAAGCCTAATATATTAGTTCGAAATTATCGGAGCATAATATTATGTTACCATATATTGTGGATTAAATAAAACTGTAAAGAGAAAAATGCAAACTTTTGAACATTTTTGTATCAGTCCAGTTGTGTCAATTAATTGCATTGCCTTGTGTAAATATTCTGTCCATATATCAAAAACGAAAGTAAAAAAGTCAAACTAGTTGGTTGAAATAGTTTTCCCAAGAAAACATGGAAATTTGGTGACATAAACATACTACACTATCCTATATAAAAATAAGTGTTGCTTCGATTATAAACATACTTTTAAAAATTTCTTTGCATTATTTCACGCCTGATAAGATATTAAAAAAAATGGAGAATCACCAAGAAAAAACTTATGATGAAAATGGATAACTGATCATTAATCCATCACCATTGAACATACGATTTGGGGTGGAAGAACCAATTTCACCTCCTCCAATTTCAGAATCAGAGATTGAGGAAACTAATATGTGGGAAGAGTGTAACATCCCCGACCCGCAACAAGGTCACCGGGACGGACCATGGCCGTGAAGCGGGGAATATGGCCGAGAGTCTAAGGAAGAACATCAGCCATGGTCCAGAATTATGGGTTAAGTTCATTAATGTGGGACTTAGCCAGGAAGAAGAGAGAAAGATAGCTCAATAAGGAAGATTGAGCTAAGATGAGCTGGAAGGGTGAGCCAAGCTAGCTGGATCAGCTGTCGGGAAGCTCAGTTAAGCTGGGATGAGTGTGATACAGTTGGTCCAGCTGAGTGGTAAGTGAGCTAGCTGGACTTTGACGATAATAGGCGGTTATGGCCGAGCGGTCGCGAAGGCTATTCCACCAAACAACACACCTGTTCGGCCAACCCATACACACCAGTTTGCCCGAGATACAACAAGGGAAAATCTATAAATAGACCCCCTTTTCCCCATTTTTACGCATGCACAAACAAGGAGAGAAACTCTGCCTAAAT